ATCAATTTTCTGGGTTTTAGATTCGACGTCGTGTTAGCGGTTAACAAATATTGTAGACGTTAACAGAAGTGTTAGGTGTTAACAATTATTTTTACGCTTCGCGTTAATAAATGTGTTCGCTGTTAACAAATATTGTAGACGTTAACAGAAGTGTTAACTGTTAACAATTATTTTTACGCTTCGCGGTAATAAATGTGTTGGCTGTTAACAAATATTGTAGACGTTAACAGAAATGTTATATGTTAACAAATGTTTTTACGTTTCGTGTTAATGAGAGGAAAGAGAAATGGCATTCTCGGCATTTCCTTGCTAAAGGGTTGTGTCAGTGTCCTTCATGTCCAATCAATGGTATTTTGCTAATTTGAGTTTCAAATATGGGTAGTTCACTAAATCACTCATTATTGTATTGGTTTTCACCTGGGGGGGGCTTTGTTTTCTGAATATTTTGATCACGAGTTTCAACGTCTTATTATCTGAGTATATAATAACTTATGACAACAAGGTGTTAGCTGTATATTATTCCATGCTCATCCAATGAGAAAACATTTTTGTATTACGTGATAAATAAATCATATGGGTTCTTGATTAGGTTTCATCTGCCACTTCACTTTAGGGAGAACAATGGCAGCTATGCTCTACGTTGACTTTCAAAACTTCTTCATCTTGATCCTCCTCTGCTTCCTCTCACTCCTCTCTTATTCTCTCTTCTTCAAGAAACCTAAAGACTCACCAAGATTTGATCTTCTGCCTCCGAGCCCTCCTTCTCTTCCGATCATCGGTCATCTTCACCTTCTCCTTTCTTCTCTAACCCACAAGTCTCTTCAGAAACTCTCCTCCAAGTATGGACCTCTCCTCCACATCCGCATCTTCAACATCCCCATCATTCTCGTATCCTCTGCCTCTGTGGCCTACGAGATCTTCAAGTTCCACGATGTGAACGTCTCAACTCGCGCTCTTGTTGCCATTGATGAGTCTCTCGTGTTTGGATCTTATGGCATCATCAACGCTCCCTATGGAGATTACTGGAAGTTCATGAAGAAGCTCATCGCCACTAAGTTGCTCCGACCAGATTCACTCGAGAGGTCACGTGGTGTCCGTGCTGAAGAGGTTCAGAGATTTCACAAAAGTCTTCTCGAAAAGGCGAGGAAGAATGAGAGCGTTGAGATCAGTAAAGAAGCGATGAAGCTTATGAACAACACATTGTGTAGAATGAGCATGGGAAGGAGTTTTTCAGAGGAGAACGGTGAGGCGGAGAAAATCAGAGGTTTGGTGGGTGAATCATATGCCTTGACAAAGAAGATGTTCTTGGCAGCTTTGTTGCGAAAACCACTCAAGAAACTTGGAATCCCGTTATTCAAAAAGGAGATCATGAGTGTTTCTGACAGACTTGATGAGCTGCTAGAGAGGATTCTTGTGGAACGCAGAGAGAAGCTGGAGGAGAACCATGAAGATGGTGATATGATGGATGTGTTGTTAGCAGCTTATCGAGACGAAGAAGCAGAGTATAAGATCACTAGGAATCATATCAAGGCGTTTTTCGTGGTAAGTATTCTTCAATATGCTGTTTTTTTTATTTGAGCATCCATATAATAGCACCAAGTTTTCTCATTGCAGGAGCTATTTGTTGGAGCAACTGATACCTCAGTGCAAACAACTCAATGGACAATGGCAGAGATTATAAATAATCATAACGTTCTTGAGATGCTGAGGGAGGAGATCGATTCGGTTGTAGGGAAAGCAAGGTTGATTCAAGAAACAGATTTACCAAATCTTCCTTATTTGCAAGCAGTGGTTAAGGAAGGGTTAAGACTACACCCGCCTGGCCCTCTCATTGTAAGGACGTTCCAAGAAAGATGTGAGATCAAAGGGTTTTGCATACCAGAGAAAACAACACTTGTTATCAATGCTTATGCTGTGATGAGAGATCCTGATTCTTGGGAAGATCCTGACGAGTTTAAGCCTGAGAGGTTTCTAAGTCCTAGAGAAGACGAGAAAGAGCTATCATTTAAGTACCTTCCTTTTGGCAGCGGAAGGAGAGGATGTCCTGGAGGAAATCTATCTCAAATATTTGTAGGAACCGCGATAGGAGTGATGGTGCAATGCTTTGAATGGAAAGTCGAAGGAGGTAAGGTCAACATGGAAGAGTCTTTTGAAGGAATGAACCTAAGCATGGTGCATCCGCTTAAGTGTTTTCCAGTTGCTAGACCTCAAAACTCTTTCTTTTACTTGTAATCTCTAGATTCTCAGCTCCTGGCACTCCACCCGAGAACATGGAGTTTGCTTTCATATGTATCAGTTCATCTTCTTCAAAGACATTCAATAAAATTGTGTCTTTATTGTATCTGAAAATCTAACAATGATATAAATAAAATTGAGATGGCAAAATAGCAAGGCATCATCATTGGTGAAGATCTCGTAGGCCATAGAGGCAGAGGAGACGATAATGATGGGGATGTTGAAGATGCGGATGTGGAGGAGAGATCCATACTTGGAGGAGAGTTTCTGAAGAGACTTGTGGGTTAGAGAAGAAAGGAGAAGGTGAAGATGACCGATGATCGGAAGAGACGGAGGGCTCGGAGGCAGTTTCTTTGGTTTCTTGAAGAAGAGAGAATAAGAGAGGAGTGAGACGAAACAGAGGAGGATCAAGAATAAGTCATAAGATCATAGTTGCCATTGTCTCCCAGAAGAAGTGAAGAGGCAGATATTGAAACATAGTTAGTGTCCCAATAGTTTATCACTTTACAAAAAAAAAATGTTTTCTCTTTGGATGAAAGTGAATGGACAGCTAGCATTTGATTTTAAATATATTATATAGTCAGAAAACAAATGACAAACAACTACTGTCAGGTGACTCAGGTGAGGAATCTAATTTGTTTTTAAAAGATTGACTTACAGTGTAAGCTAGGTTTTTCCCTACTGTACTAACAATACTTTTGCGCAGAGATTCAAGAAGTTCAGAAAAGAGTCGGCAAAAAAAATGAATGCTTGTGGACTTTTGGAGCTGACTGTCTCACAAGGTTATGTCACGGTATGTTTTTTTTCTTCTTCTCATAAAACTTGCATTCTTCTATCATAACTTTGAATCTTTCTCCCTGGCTTTTGATCATGACAGGTAAATCATTCAGCTACAAGGTTCTATCGTTGGGGACATTTCAAAAAAAAAAGGCACAGAAATGGATGAGAGATGCTATAAAGTTTAGCACAAGTATGAGTCCTGCCTTCTTTGAAAGAGTATCTCGAATCATTAAGCTCCAGTGATCGGAATGTACATCTTAGGCCAGCAGGCAGCATCTTTGATGTTTCACTGAAAAGGTTTGGGAAGTTGATCATACAGATATTACTGTGCCCTTTTCAATGTATCAATATCTTTATTTTCTAAAGATATATTTTCGAGAAAAAGAAAAGATTTCCTCTTTCATAAGCAAATTTGATCACTGGAGAAACCAAGCAAGACGTTTAATTTTTTTTTTTTTTTAACACAGCAAGACGTTTAATTAAAGGGATAATAGGTGTAATATACCCAAAAAAGTCTAAATTGGTCAAATGTCCTTAGTTTTGGATAACCCAAAAAAGTATATCCTTTTGATATTGTATAGACGAAAATACCCCTCTTTTATCACATTCATATTTGGCAATAGTACAGTGTGTGTCAGATATAGAGATAGTCAGATTTGATGGGGGAGTTGTTCAGAGAAGTAGGTCAGACGATAGGCAGCAGAACAGACGACGGTCCATTGGATAAAGAAGAGTTTCGTACTTATGTTAACAAAACTCGTATCGGATAAAAATTCATGTATCAGATAATAAACTATTTAACCAAAAACGTATTAACTCACAAACTATTTATCAATTAACAAACAAATTTTAAATAATTTAGAAACTGATAAACCATTTATAAAACCATTTATCAGTTACACAAACCATGCACTGATTAGCGACAAGTTATTTAGCAAGGAAACAAATCATTTATCAGTCACACAAACCATGCACTGATTAGCGACAAGTTATTTAGCAAGGAAACAAATCATTTATCAGTCACACGAACCATTTATGAACTCATTTATCAGTTATAGAATTTGTTAGCGAGTAAGAAATTTTTTAGCAAGTTACAAACTTTGTTATAGAGTTATGTTAACTTATAACATGCTAAACAAGTCAGTAACTTGACAATATACCATATAATTCTATATTATTTTCAATCTAACAAATTGTTTAATATTTACAAAAAAATTAACTAACTAATCTTAAATTTAAAAAGTAAAAGAAAAAAGATTTAGCATGTTATAAAACAAATTAGCATGTTAACAAAAAAAGTAGCGTATAAATACATATGTTTACTATTATATAAGGGGTTAACCTGGTAACTTAAATCACCTAAAATCAGAAAAATATAGCCATGTTGACCTTCATAGGTATACATACATGTAGAACTTTCTTAAGGTTTAAGTCGGGTATAATATTAAATAATATAAATTACCAATATTTGTTAGCACTTAACTAGAAGACTCAAATTTTTTTTTATCTATTTCACACATTAAACAGTAGATGTTAACGGTTAATCTAGAATTTAGAAGATAAACAAAACAATTGACGGTCACGCTGGAACTGAGACGACGAAAGAATGACTGACGGCTACGTGTGGTTTCACAAAGGATGTCGCGGGAGGAAGAAGGAGTTCGTAGTGGCTCGCCAAGATTCGTGACTGAGTGAGACGACAGCCATGATGGTGAATATGAGGACGTAATCGAAAGAAGTGAGAAGAATGGCAATAGTGAAGTTCATATACGATGGAGATTGTGATCGAAGTTGCAGAGAGGAAAGATGAACAACCGAAGTAATGGGAAATTAGAAAAGAATGAACGCCAGAAATGATAGAAAAGAAGAATGGGGAATTTTTAAGACATCATTTTAACCAATGTGTAAAAGCATGTTTTCTGCTTGTGACAGAGGGCATGCACGTTTTCTACTTGTAACAAAAAGGCTATGAGGTGTAGGAAAGACAGCCCAGAAAGGTAAAATGGTCAAGCAAATAGAGTTAAATCTTCAGAGGTTATATTGTTAATAAATAGTGTTTTTGTGGGTATTGGCACCAATTTCTCTTAATTAAAAAGTGAAAGTTTAATCATTTTCAAAATGTACCAAAGAGCCGCTTCCTTCTAAACGACGTCGTTTGACGTTATTCCTTATTGGGTTCGCAGCGACGTCGTTTCTTCCGCCGCACACATTTTTATAACCCAGACTCACGTCTCTCTCCGGAAGCAGAGAAGAAGAAACGCTCTCTCTCTCTTTTTTATCCTTTTGATCAATTCTCCTCGAGCCAAAGCATTTCAATTTCGAAAATTTCCAATTTTCGCGTTGCTAAGGGATGGCGGCGGTAAATGGAAATACTCCGGCGGAGACAACGCCGGCAACCACCGGATCGAAGCAACCTACTCCTCCGGCTAAATCCGTCGATAGCCAATCCGTTCTCAAAAGGTTCTTTCTCTTCTACCCTTTTCTCCGATCTTAGAATAACAAAGGGAAATTCATTTTAGCCTTCTCTACCTGCCTCGATTTGAATATCATAGCTTCGATTAGATTAACATTTGGATCCAACCGTATCCATTTCTAGATTATGCTTAATATTGTATCTCTCCTCCTTGTCTACCAACTGTTTGTTAAAATTCCTCTGAGAAAACCATTGCATTGAACTGTTTGCTCAAAGGCCAAAGCTTCGTTTCCTGTTTTTTTCTTTTTCCTTCTTTTATTGGTTAAGCAAAATTCATAATTTTTTCCTAATCCGTTGTTAACCTTAACACGCAGGCTGCAATCTGAACTAATGGCTTTAATGGTAAAGCTCTCTCTCTCTCTCTCTCTCTCTCTCTCCCTTTTGAGCCTATTGGTGGTACAAAGTTTAATGCGGATCTTTTGATTTTGATGTTTGTTTTATATCAGATGGGAGGTGATCCAGGGATATCTGCTTTCCCAGAGGAAGACAACATATTCTGCTGGAAAGGAACTATCACAGGGAGCAATGACACTGTGTTCCAAGGAACTGAGTACAGACTCTCACTCGCTTTCTCCAATGATTATCCTTTTAAACCTCCCAAAGTTAAGTTTGAGACTTGCTGTTTCCATCCCAATGTGGATCTCTATGGCAATATTTGCTTGGACATTCTTCAGGTATACAATACAACTTATTTTTGCTACTTCTTGATTTTGAAGCTACCATATGTTAGACAAGTACTTAAAACAAAATATGTTATTCACATTCTTTTGTAGGATAAATGGTCATCGGCTTACGATGTGAGGACGATATTACTCTCGATTCAAAGCCTTCTCGGAGGTAAACCGTTGAGTTTTCTTGTGAATATCTATGTTGGTTTGATCCAATATCTGATTTTGATCTGTGTTTGGTTGATCAGAACCGAACATCAGCTCACCATTGAACAATCAAGCAGCTCAGCTTTGGAGCAATCAAGAAGGTAGTTTGAAATAATAGTAATCAGATTACGCTATACCTGGTTTTTATCCGGATGGTCTTCTTATGTCTGTTGTTTGGGTTGATGTTGTACAGAGTACAGGAAGATGGTTCAGAAGCTCTACATACCATTGAACGCATGATTCTTAAAAGCCTCTTAAGTAACTGGATCAGCCATAATATGATTTTCTAGATTGCATTCAATAGATCATTTTTCTTCTACTTTGTAATCTCAAACTTAAAGCCAGTATTAGGAATCAAAGGAGACCCTTTTATTAGAGTTACTAGTTGCATATTCCCCGCGCAAGCGCGGGGCCGGGATCATTATGTCTGCGTGTATTTTTTTCGATTGTTGGTTAAGTGAATTCTTCTAATGACACCAATTAATAATGAAATGGCAAATTTCATGTTCTTATATCGTATGCCAAAACTTGATATAATTCTATATTTATAGTGTTTGTATTTGTATTAAACGATTTATCAATATGAAAATAACCTTAATTAAGTTAATATTCGTTGTTTGAGTTTCATTAGATAGGTTTTTATATATGGTTTTTTGTAAGTTTCGGTTTTGTTCATAAAAGATGTGGCATTTTTATCTACGGAGTCATCGACTCTGGGAATTCATTCGCCGAAGTCTGGAGTCGGTGGTGAGAAATGTTTTCAATGAAATTATAGTAGTTATTAAAATGTAAGAGAAATTACATATTCATTTAATAAATAACTTACTTAAATTTTGTTGTTTATTTTATTTTATTTCACATACAAGTTTTTTTGAAAAATATTAGGAATGTTTAAATGTTATTTATATGCGAAGTAAGGTTTATAGGAATAGTTAGGCTATAATATAGTTTTTAGTGTGTAAAAGTAGGTGTGTTTTTTTTTGCTGTAAATAGTTTTTATATCGTAGATCAAAACTTGATATAATTCTATATTTATAGTATTTATATTTGTATTAAACGATTTATCAATTTGAAAATAACCTTAATTAAGTTAATATTCATTGTTTAAGTTTCATTAGATAGGCTTTTATATATGGTTTTTTCTAAGTTTGAGTTTTGTTCATAAATGATGTGGCATTTTTATCTACGGCGTCATTGACTGTGGGAATCCATTCGCCGGAGTCTGGAATCGGTGTGAAGAATGTTTTCAAGGAAATTATAGTAGTTATTAAAATGTAAGAGAAATTATATATTCATTTAATTAATAACGAAAATAATTAATTTTTGTTGTTATATTTTATTTCATCTCACATACAAATTTTTTGAAAATATATATTAGGAAATATGTGCAATGATTTAACTTTTTGAGCTCCTAATCTATATTATTCAACCCTCATTAAGCCATCCACGTATGCACCCGCGTGGAATTCACTTTTTTTTTTTTTGTCTGTTCGTTTTTGGATTTATCTTTTATTATTTTTGGGTTGAGCTATATTATAATATGATAGTCTTAAGGTTCTTTAAGCCATCCGCGTAGGCAACCACGTGAGACTTGTTTTTTGTTTTATTATTCGTTTTGGATTCATTTTTAACTATTTTGGGTTTGAACTTGTTAAGGTTTAGGGTTTATACAACTATTTTGATCTGTAAAACAATAAGCCCAAAAAAAACATAAGAACTTTATAAATAAAAAACCCATATGATAATAACCTAAATAAAAAAAATCAAAAATACATGATAGCTGCGTGGTTTGAACCCACAATCTTGCATACTTAATTAGACACCTTATACCACTTGACTAAAGTGTATTTCATTGTTTGTGACCATCTTACCAAGACTATGTGTGTTTAAAAAATATTTCTATGATGATGATATTAATTGGTTTATGCTTGAGAGCAGTGGGAATTGAACCCATGCCCTTGCAGACCAAACATGGGGCCTTAGACCACTTGGCTAAGCTGATATTCTTTGTTTGTAGCCATTTTGAAAAGATTATCTATTTTAATATAAAAATGTGGGACCCACAATCTGCCTATGTGGACACCTTGAGGAGCCTTGAAAGTGAATCATTATAATATAGACTAGATTTTATACTCGCGCTACGCGCGAGTCTGTATTAATAATTTAATTTAGTTTTAAAATAACTTAAAACCAAAACATTAAGTGAGTAATATAATTTTTTATTTAAAATATAATCATTATTTTAGTATTTTATTTTCTTATAATTATGTTATCTTATTAGCTATTTAGTTATTTGTATTTGTAAATATAATA